ATTCGCGCCGGTAGCCACCGGAAAGGTGAACGGCGCATAAATTTCGAGGCGTGATACGATACGAATAATTTAGATAACGTCATACTTGTTCGTTGCGAATATTAACGCGCGATAACGTGCGGACTTCGTGCGATAACACCGCGAAACAGTCCGCGCAAGAATGTCTTCGTCGTGCCGAATGTCTCTCGTTCAAGGATTCTATCGCTCGACATAAAAAAAAAAGATTGAAAAGTGTTCCGTCGGTTGAATCCCCTCGCTTTCTTTCCGCGAGCACCGCGCTCGAGAAAATCGAATTGAAATGCGCAAGTCGCGCCTGCATATTTCGAACTGGATAGTAGCGTGATAATAGGGTAAAAGTATACAATTATGCTCCGGTTGACAAAACATCCCATATTCCTTCCTCGAAGACTAAACGCGAAAATGATTAGCGTGTTCTGACGTTTCACAATACGCCACTCTCTCTCTCTCTCTCTCTCTCGGATTCTTAGACAGGATGAACTTCAATTTCGTATCGCTGTTAAATATATCGTTAATAACAGTAACAGTTAAAAAACTTTTTAATGTTGCTTTTTCTTATTTTAATAGATAAATCTAACATATTAGTATGTCGGTTATAGTAGTAAGATTAAATTTCAAATTTGCAGAGTTAGTTATGTGAAAATATTTTTCTTATTCTGAGATTCGTTGACTCGTTCAAAATAATAATAGGCAGTAATATGGAACAAAGTGTTTCATATTACCAAATTTTATATCTCCTTATCTTGTATAGTGGGTATGAAAGTGGTGATTTTATTTGCGATTTCTGTTCTTAGGCCTAAAGGATTGCTATATAATATGAAATATCGAGCTTAATTTTCTTTATTTCCATAGGAAATTTTATTCTAATTTTAACGTATGATTTTTACATTCAAAGGAATTCAGTAAAAAAATTGTTTTAACATCATTTTAATAATAATAAAAAGTAAGCTTTTTACATTCATGCCTGTTTCATATTACCACTCCATTTTCCAAGATCCTGATTCTTGCACTATGTTTAAGAAAAATTTTTTGCTCTTTGAATTGAGTTTTTTTACTTCCGAAATAATTATGAATATATTATAAGAAATATATTTGTTAACATTTCTTATAGTTATTAATGCAATTATTGAATTTAATATTGAATTTTTAATCTAAAACAAACGTTTCATATTTTCATTTTTTCCCCAACAAAATTTAAAGATAATTGGATACAGTTTTGTTTCGGTCGGTTGCACAAATCATGCATAACTAGATGTTCTCTATACTTGAAATTATTTTCTTTATATTATATGTGTGAGAAACATATATTGTTACAAACCTAGGGTGTTTTACATTGCAAGATGTTGGCGAAACGCCCATCGAAGATTAAAAAAAATTCCTTTTCATGTTTACATTTTAATTTATGATTAATGTCCAAAGACAAGTTAAAGAAGGAGTGTTTATAACGGAACAAATTAAAGTTGAAATGAAGATGTAAAAATTAACATTTTATTGGGCTTTATTGTGTGGGACGTATTGTATAATTTCACTTCACGCACGCGAGCGGGCATATGCAACACGCACGTTTTCTATCGCGATGTCTTAATCCACCGAGAGTTTCGCCATCGGAGCCGGATAAGTAATGTTGAAGACAATAATCGGCTCGGTATCGGTAGATACCAAACTGGCGCGCGTATAATAACCTGCGCGTACGCGTGTACGCGTTATTGTGCGTACACGCCGCTCCGTAGTAGATATACACAACGGCAACGATATCTCTCGCGGGCGCCTCGCGGAGGACTTGTGAACCGCCTCTTTTATCCGGGGCGCAATTGAGTCAACGGCCTTTCGAAAGAGAAGAGAGAGAGAGAGAGAGAGAGAGAGAGAGAGAGAGAGAGA